GGACGCCGCGGTACGCGAGGACCAGCGGAAACGCGGGGAGCCGGGGAGCCGGGTGACTCCGGGCAGGGACTCTCGAGGGAGGATGCCGGTCCGCAGGGGCCACGTCGCGCCCCAAAACACTTACCTGGACACCATCATCCGCAAATTCGAGGGGCAGAGTGAGTGGGGTTTGTTGGGATGAGGGGCGATCCGGGGCCCGGGGACGTTAGCCGGAGGGGCCGGATCCCTTTACAAACTTCGAGTGGGGGAGTGGGGACGGGGCGTGCTGGACATCTCCTCCAGCGAGCCCCACTTACCTCGAAGTCCCCTGGTCCCGCTGGTAACCCAGCTGCCTCCCTGTGGCCCAACTCCTGACCTCATCATCTAACCACCACTCTGCTCCCCTCGGGCCTCCCTGGTAGGTTCCTTCCTTTCCAGCCCACATCCCTGATGGCCTTCCCCGGAACTCTCATCAGACTCCCTTCTCTGCCTCCTGGAGGCCTTGAACCCACTCTCTGACCCTGGTCTTCCCACAGTCCCCAGGACTGAGGACACCCCCTTATTCCCTTCCTGAAGATGCCCCCACAGTCCCCCAGGGTCTCTGACCTTCATGGTCCCATTCTGACAACCCCCTCACTGCCCTCAGAAGTCCCTGGGATTGGTCCCTCCCTGACCCCCCTCTGGCTGCCATGGGCATCCCATCCCACCTTCTGCCCCAGGTCGCAAGTTCTTGATTGCCAACGCTCAGATGGAGAACTGTGCCATCATTTACTGCAATGACGGCTTCTGTGAGCTTTTCGGCTACTCCCGGGTGGAGGTGATGCAGCGGCCATGCACCTGCGACTTCCTCACAGGCCCCAACACCCCACGCAGCGCTGTGTCCCGCCTGGCACAGGCCCTGCTGGGGGCCGAGGAGTGCAAGGTGGACACTGTCTACTACCGCAAGGACGGTGAGGCACCCTCCACCTGTGGGTCCAGCTGGCCCCTTACCCAACCAGGAAAACTTGGGGAGGGCACTGGTCTAGCCATCAAAAGGCCCGCACAGAGCCCCTCCCCTCTCTGGGGCCTCAAGGGAGAGCAGTGAGCATTTGGATGCCATGCTTTCCGGGCCTGGAGACCAGGAAGCCATCGGCTGGTCCTGTCCTGGGGCAGGATCTTCTATTCTACAATCCCTCCCCCATGTCTCCAGTCGGCTGCTGCCCACTCTGTTACTGTCAGCCCCAGCTGTCAGGCAACTGGGATGGAAATTAACCTCCCCTCCTTTCTGTCTGGGGATTAGGGAAGGAGTCACCCCTTCACAGCCTCTGTGGCCAGGCAAGGAGTGGAGGCTGCTGGCTGGGAGACACGGGTGGCCTGGTTTACCTAGTCCCTGTTCCTTGGGGAGGAGGAGACAGGGCTTAGAGACCAGGGACAAACTGGCTCACCTCTCCCTGCCTTTGCTAGGAGGGGAGCTTCCTAGTTCTGCATCAGAATTACCTGGGGGCGTGTTTTCCAAAACACCTTCTCAGAGAGGTTGTCCCAGAGGAGTGGAGTGAGGCCCAAACAGGTGCTTTTGGAAAAATCTCTGAGGTGGTTCTGGCCTCCTGCCACATTTAGGAACCACTGGCTTAGATACGTCTCTCTTGATTCATGGAGGAGGAGACAGAAACCTAAGCAAAGGGGATCAGGATCCCAGTGTTAGAGCCGAGTTTCTGGAGTCTGCCCTCCCATGCAAGAGAGGAGAAAGGACCCCCAACTGCTTCTGTCTCGGAGGCAGGATTTTTCAAGAGGGCAGCCCGGGAAGTGGGGCACAGGGGAGATAGACATGAGGACAGACTGTGCAGATGAAGGGCATTCGCTTAGTTACAAGTGAATGGGGTGCTGAAAGCCTGGGTCTCAGGGGCCTGGGCCTGGTGTGTGTGCGTGTGTGTATAGTATGAATGTGAACAGAGCATGTGTGCACACATGTATGTGTATGGTTTCTGGACTCCGGGGGCAGTCCTTGGGCAGATCCTGACCCTGCTGCTGTTTCTTGGGCAGCAACGGACCCGACTGCTGCCACCCAAGTGAGTCGCAGGTAGGGAGTGCAGCTGGTAGGGGGTTAGGAAGAATCTGACTTAGTTTGGCAGTACTCACAGGGTTAATGAAGTCAGAATATTTTTAAAACCTGTGACTTCACCTCCTCTTATCATGGCAGGGAGGAGGTGACAGTCAGGAGAGTGAGAAGGGTCCTGGGGGAACAGGATGGGACAGCAGGAAACGAAGGGGACAGCAGGTCCTTTCTGTCACTCTCCTTGACCTCAGAGCACTTCCTGGGCCCCATAGGGGTGAGGCTAATCTCAAACTCCTAGGGCTGTCAGGTTGGGGATCTTTGGGGGTGGGGTGTCCCTTCGGCACTCTGTGTGTGTCTGAGCAGTGGGGTGAGGTTGGGCATGGGCCCCTTAGGATCAGAACTCAGACTGTTAGAACCCTGCTGGGATCCTTTTACTCCACGGGAAGGATGTGGTGCTCAAATAATTTGTATTTGTTCTATGGTCCACTCTGATCACTTGACAAAAAAAAACCCAATGATGTTCGCATATCTCTGACAGGTCTACTGAGGAGTATCCTAGTGGCATTCACCTCCAGCTTCAAATCAATACCTCCTCTCCCCATACCTGACTCTAGAGAGGTAGAAAGGGGTCTTGAACAGAGCTCTAGCAGGTTTTTTTTTTTAATAATCTTCTTTCCTCTAAAGGGGTAATCCACAGGCAAGGCTCCCAGTTCAAGCAGAAGGTCTGTGTCCATATGTTCCTTCATTGTGTAGCTGCAGCAAGTTGGGCACAAAGAGGCCAGGGCCTTTGACAAACACCACCCTAAGAGACAGGGCTTAGAGACCCCTGACAAACTGGTTCACCTCTAAAGACAGGGACTTCACAGAGGATGGAGAAATGGGCAAAAAAACGTGAAAGGGTGGCGCAAGGGTGGGAATCGAGAGCACTCAGATCCTCCCTCTGCTACTGGGTTCTTGGTCCTCTTCTCTTAAGGCCCCAAACCAGAGTCATTCATTTAGTTGGAAGTGGATGAGTGCTAAGAGCCTGGGACCCAGGGGCCTGGTGTGTGTGTGTGTATGTGCACGCGTGCCATGCAGTGTGAATATGAATATGAGCATGTGTGTGTGCTCACATTAGTCCTCAAGCCAGATTGGAAGAGGCCTGGGGAGTCCAGTTCTGTGCCCAGAGGCAAGGACAAGGCCAGGGCCAGTGTCTGTCCTCCTCATGCACAAGCACCCATGACTTCCGGGAGGACCACTCTGGGAGGGGAAGTAGCACTGCCCTCCACCCCCGAGGTTCAGCACAGAGCAGGAGAGTTGTGTATGAAGCCTCGGCTGGAAGACAACATGGAGACTGTGTAGAGGCTGGTCGAGCGCCGGCACAGGGAGGAGGGTGGAGTGGAGCATGAGGAAAGGCAGAGGGAAGCGGGCTGTCCCAGGGACCAGGCAAACCTGCTGCTCTTGGTCAGAGAGGTGGGTGTCAGGAGGTGCCCTCCCCAAGAAAGGACAGAGCAGAGACTGGCTCCTCCTCCGGGGATAGTGACAAGGGACCTAGCCACTCCTGGGCACAGCTGGAGTGTCCCACGTGTCCATACTTTCCTCAGGGAGCAGGGAAAAGATTGCTCAGGACAGGTTTCCAAAGTCTCATGCCTCTTTCTGCCCACCCAAAAGCAAGAAGCATCGGAAGGTGAGCCATGGGTGCATGCACCCTCTGCCTGTCTTCCCGGTTCCTCGGTCCACTCTCATCCTCGGTGTTCCAACAATCCAGTCATTGGGTGGCTACAGTTATGTTCAAACCAGGCTGGCGGCTCCCAGCAGCATAATAGAGAAAGCCCAAAGCCTGTGTCTCTCTGCCCATCTCTGCCCTTGCCCTGCCCCCCTGCCAGGCCCGTTTCTGCAGGGCCAGAGCGGTGGAGGGTAGAGTCTGGCCTGGGTCATTGGTTCTGGCCACTGGCCAAGGAGGCATGCTGGCGAGGTTCTGGTTTCCAACCTTGCCGTGCTCCCTGGCAAGAGTGAGGGAAGGGCCCCTTGAGGGAGCCCAGGGTTAAGCCAGGCAGCGACTCCTCAGTGTGGATGTCTCCCCCAGGGCCCCTCACAGCAGCTGGCAGATGGCTGCCTGGTGCCGGGGAGTCCGGGAATCTGATCCAGGAGGCTCCTGCTCCAGGGGAGGAAAGTGGGTGGGAGGTAGCAGGGGTGGAGCTGCACCCCTCAGTTTGGAATATGGGCGCGGGGGGGCTGAGATCACTGGAGTCTGGGGGAAGGTGAGCCTAGCGGTCCTCAAAGTAGCAATGCTCCCCATTCGGTATATTATACTCCTCCACTCCTAGTCACCTCACATTCAATTAATCACCGCCACCTGGGAGAGGGGCTGGGCTGCTGCCAATGCGACAGAGCCAAGCCTGCCCTGGGGACTCTGCCCTCGGATTCCCATTCTGCCCTCCCTCTTGTCCTTTTGGGCTAGACACCTGCCAGAGCCCTAGGTGGGAGGTGTGGGCGCCCTTATACTATAGATGGGGTCTCCTGGGAAGGGACCTGAACTCTGGAAATCCCTTACAGTTTTAGTTCCTAAAGGTGTGGGCCTCTAGAGCAGCGATGGAGGGGTGGAAGCTGTACCTGCCCTCAGGGGTGTAAGGGCTCTGCACCTGCATGGGCTACCCAGAAGGTAGAGGTCATGGTGAGTGGGACTGCAGGACTGCCTGCCCTGTCTACCCCCTTCCAGCAGCCTTCTGCCTCCTCCTCAGACTTCAGGCCACCCCGCCCACTGCCCCCAGCAGCCTCAGCTCCCAACCATCCTTGCCTCTCCCAGTGGCCAACCTGGGGTCCCCTCCAGCTTGAGCTCTGTCTCAGCTCCCAGCCCAGCTCAGCATGTCAGTACTTCAGAGCTGCAGGCTCTTGGCTGCAGAACAGGGGTCCCTGCCTGCACCCCACCCCCAGGGTCTCCCAAGGCCTGATGTGCCAACTGGCTCCGTGCCAGCACTTGGGGTATGCTCTGTGAGGCCTCTCCTGAGGCAGGGCCCCTGGCTGGAGTGGGAGCTGAGGGCGGGGTTGGGTGCCTGCGTCCAAGCCCCCATTAATCCACCCCATCTGCTTGGCTCTAATGACAGTAGACACAAGCCTCCAGGCTAAGCCCTGAGTGGCAGGCCGAGCAGGGACATGGGCGGGGACGCTTTATGACCTCCAAGCTGCTCTCCCTACTCTGCCCTGTGGATGGAGCCCCTGCTGGGCAGCCTAACCCGTGGCAGCCAAAAGCCCTGCTCCCTGCCCAGCCCCTCACTCTCACAGCTGCTCTTCCCTTAACCACACCCCTTGACTGCCCCAGGCTGGGCCATTGCCCCAGGGTACTCTTTCAGTGACCCCCTTGTTAACATGTGCAGCCTCCAGCTTCCGTTGCCTGGTGGACGTAGTGCCCGTAAAGAACGAGGACGGGGCTGTCATCATGTTCATCCTTAACTTTGAAGACCTGGCCCAGCTCCTGGCCAAGAGAGGGAGCCGCAGCCTGTCTCAGCGCCTGCTACCCCAGGGCTTCCTGGGCTCCGGTGAGGTGGGGAGGTGGGGGACAGGTGGCAGGGGAGGGTGCCCGCAGAGCACCTGGTGCCCGAGCCCAGGCTGCTCTGACCCCAACCCTGGTTCCAGAGGGTGCTCACGGCAGGCCGGCTGGACAGGGCTCCGGTTCGGGCAGAGTCAAGTACAAGACCATCAGCCAGATCCCACAGTTCACGCTCAACTTTGTGGAGTTCAACCTGGAAAAGCACCGCTCGGGCTCCACCACGGAGATTGAGATCATCGCGCCCCACAAGGTGGTGGAGCGGACCCAGAACGTCACTGAGAAGGTCACCCAGGTGCGGCCTGGGGCCTGGGGAGCAGGGAGACCCTGCTGGCTTGACCCCACTAGAGCCCAGGGGAGGATCCCCTATCTGAATCCATATCCATGCAGTGATCAAACCGGGAGGTCCGGGGACAGGGGAAAAGGTGGCAAGTCTGCAAAGTCAGGGGGTTACTTCCAGGGCCAGAGGCTGACCGGATGTCACCATGCGATAGCACTTCCGTGGCCTCTGCCTGGGACTGCACTTTCAGACCACGGGTCTCCTGGTTGCAAACAGTCCTGGGGCGGATCTCTTTGTTGCTATCTGTCTGCAGACTGGTCTCTTTGAGAGATGAGAGTAGACTGATTTAAACCAGGACTGCCTATGGGGCCTCGGCCTGGTGGCCATGTGGTTATAGAGAGTCCTCAAGGCCCAGCCTCATTGGGGTAGTGTCTGATGGTGTACAAGGGAGCTGGGGGTGGAAAGAGGGACAGATGGGCTCTGGCTATCTAGACTCCTCATCTCATGTCATTCCAACACCCCAGTGCACTTTGATTCCCTTTGTCACACCGTTTTGCAGACGAGGGAACTGTGGCCCACGGAGGTTACAGACTTGCCCAAAGTCCCACGTATAGCACAGAGCAGTGCTGGAATTCAAACCTAGTGCCTTTCCAAGGGCCCGGGCTGATTCCTGCCCTGGGCGGCTAGGTAGAGCCTGGGCAAGTCTGCCACAGTCTCTGAGGAGGGGCCCGGGAGTAGAGGGTGGGAGAGGAGACTGGGCTCTTCCTACCACTCAGAACCCACCAAAGGCCCGAATAGTCCATCTGCCCTCAAACCTGACTCTCCATGGAAAACTGGAAGTTGCCCCAGGACGGCCCACACTGGTCCAGGCTCCTCAGGACCCTCAGAAACCAAGAGGCTGTTCTGGGGAGTGACCTGTGTCCATTAGGAACCCTGACCACAGGGACCTCCCAAGCCTTCCCAGCCCCTGCCTCCATCTGGGCTCTTTGACACATACTAACAACCTGTCTTCCCCGGCCGGTCCTGCCCCTTTCCCATCCTAGCTCCATATGGGCTGTTCCTGAGGGAGCTTGTGAGCCTCCAACCTGGAGACAGTATGGGCCTGAGCTGCTTCCTTTCTCCCTCCCATCTCCCCTCTCCTCCCTCAGACCTCCCCCTTCCTCTCTGCCCTTTGCCTCACACACCTGTGAACTTTCCTCCCCAGCACCTCGTCTGTATAGACCGAGTCCCCTCTGCCCTTCACAACCCTCCTCTCCACGCTCCCCCCACCTCGCCCCTCTGTCCTCAGCAGTGGCTGTCCCCACTGACTGCCGTGACCTCTCCCCCAGGTGCTGTCCCTGGGCGCAGACGTGCTGCCGGAGTACCAGCTGCAGGCGCCGCGCATCCACCGCGGGACCATCCTGCACTACAGCCCCTTCAAGGCCGTGTGGGACTGGCTCATCCTGCTGCTGGTCATCTACACGGCCGTCTTCACGCCCTACTCGGCCGCCTTCCTGCTCAGCCACCAGGAGGAGTCCCGGCGCGAGGACTGCGGCTACACCTGCAGCCCACTTACCGTGGTGGACCTCATCGTGGACATCATGTTCGTGGTGGACATCGCCATCAACTTCCGCACCACCTACGTCAACACCAACGACGAGGTGGTCAGCCACCCCCGCTGCATCGCCGTCCACTACTTCAAGGGCTGGTTCCTCATTGACATGGTGGCCGCCATCCCCTTCGACCTGCTCATCTTCCGCACAGGCTCTGAGGAGGTGAGCTGGCGTGGCGTGCCCTGGGCCTGTGCGGCTGGCCGGAGCCCCGGGACCTCCCTGGGTGCAGAGAGTAAGTGGAGGCGATGGGGAGGCTGAGGCCACCACATCTGTCGTGTCTGTCATGTCCCAGCCTTGGAGCAGGTCCTGGCACATCCAGTGAGAGGAGGGGGCTCGCGGCAGGCTACCTGCTGCCTCTCCTAGGATGCCCCTCCAGGTGTCCCAGCCTCTGGGGGCAGCCTGACCTCTCACCTCCGGCCCCTTACTGTGCCTGTTTCACTCCCATAACTGAAGTGAGGGCATTTTCAGCTCTCCTCCCTCCCCAGGTCCTCCCACAGGGTCCTCCTGCCCCATCTCCTCGGGCTTAGCTTCCCCTTCACGCCAACTCTGCTCTCCGTGTCTCCCCTGCCCCTGGCTTCTCACCCGCCCCACCCCAGCAGCCCCATCCCCAAGTCTCCAATCCTCCCCGCCACCGCCCCCCTTTCACCCCACTGCGCTGCCTACATACTGAGTGGTCTTTTCACCACTTCCCACCTTCAATTTTCCCACCCAGCAGCTAGGGGAGTTCTAAATCCTGTCCATACATCTGACCCTGTCACTTTCCCCAGAACTTGATGCTCCTCCTGCCCTCCCCACACCACCCAAGCTCTTTCTAACCTCAAGGTCCTTAGACACAGGCCCTGCCCCTTCCCCGGGTTCTTATCACACTGCTTCCCCACCCTCCACTCCATGTCCCAGCCTGCAGCAGATGGCTGGCTCTCTTTCACCTCCACACCTTTGCTGCACCCACGCCCTTCCTCCTGTCTGTCTGTGTGCCGGCTGAGAGCTCTGCCTCCACTCTGAAGGCGCCCCTGCCCTTGCAGACCTGCCCTCTCCTCCTCCACACGCACTCACCCCTACCCCAGACTTGTCCTCCCAACGAGCCTAGCCCTCCTCTGAGTTTTAGGCCGTTTGCTCTGTAAGGCCCTGCTCGGGACAAGCTCCCACCAGTGAGTGAAGCTCTCCACCAGTGAGTGTGCAAATAAACGCAGGCCTGGACCAGGCCTGATCCAGGGCTGAGCTCCGGCACCTCCCTGCCCCCTGCAGACCACGACGTTGATCGGGTTGCTGAAGACCGCCCGGCTGCTGCGGCTGGTGCGCGTGGCGCGGAAGCTGGACCGCTACTCGGAGTACGGGGCGGCCGTGCTCTTCCTGCTCATGTGCACCTTCGCGCTCATCGCGCACTGGCTGGCCTGCATCTGGTACGCCATCGGCAACGTGGAGCGGCCCTACCTGGAGCCCAAGATCGGCTGGCTGGACAGCCTGGGCGTGCAGCTTGGCAAGCGCTACAACGGCAGTGACCCAGCCTCAGGGCCCTCGGTCCAGGACAAGTACGTCACGGCCCTCTACTTCACCTTCAGCAGCCTCACCAGCGTGGGCTTCGGCAACGTGTCGCCCAACACCAACTCGGAGAAGGTCTTCTCCATCTGCGTGATGCTCGTGGGCTGTGAGTGCAGCGTCCCGTCCCGGGCTTACCCAGGGAGTCGTCCTTTGCGTGGCGGAAGGAGATATAGATAGGTGTGTGCGCAGCTGGCTGATCGGGTGGAGGCTCAAGTCCACTGCGGAAGAAAGGCCAGGCTACCTACTTCTGAAAGACCAGCCCTTGGAAACCCTCTAGGCACAGTTCTACTCTGAAGCACCTGGAGTCACCATGAGAGGGAGTCAGTCACTCAACAGCAACTGGTGGATAGAGCCTTACACATAGGGACAATGCATGCAGGGCCCTGACTCTTCATGCAGCAGCGTGAGCATGTATATATGGACACCCTGTGATACACGGGATCTAATGTGTCTATTCCAAACATCCAGCTGAATGCACGGCCATTGCGTCAATGCCGACTTATAACCACCCTGTTGAAACAAACAAACAAACAAACCACTGCCATCATGTGGATGCAGACCCTAGCAACCTGATAGGACAGAGTAGACCAGTCCCCTTTGGGTTTCTGCGACTGTAACTCTTTACGGGAGTAGAAAGCCCTATCTTTTCCCCAAGGAGCAGCTGGTGATTTTGAACTGCTGACCTTGCAGTTAGCAGCCCAATACATCACCACCACGCCGCCACCAGGGCTCCTATAGCAATCCTAACGGCCCCTGCTATATGCCAGGCACCAGGACCACCTCCATAAATTGTGGGGTCCAATGCAAAAGATCTAGAATCAACTCATGGCCGGGTTGCACACACCGTGCAGAATGAAAACATCCAGGTGCCTTGTTACAAATTATTAAGAATGTTCAAGACATGGGCAGCAGACCATTCATCCATGCTTGGCAGGGACTTCCGGGGGTGGGGTGGGGGCCAGGTGCACTGCTGAACACCAGGGAAAGGCCCACATTTTATTCTCATCACAACCCCAGAGGGGGCCACCTTATAAGCCCCCAGTTTATGGACTAAGAAAACCAGTGTCCTAACTCAACAGAGGCTACACACCCAACAAGTCTTCGAGACCCACATCCATTCCAGGTAGCCTGGGGGGGCACCCTCAGCCACTGTACCTGGCTGCCTCCCTCTCAAGTCACCGGGTTTCAAAACCCTTGAGGCAGTGTGGAATTTTCCCCAAGTTGAAGTTGTAGATGAAGTTGTTATGTTCCAAGTATTTACAGCTGTAACAGCCTCGAAAAACAAAAACAACACAGGCAAACAGGAGAGACCAAGTGACGCCCCTTTATTGTGCTTTTGCAACAGGAAGCAGAAAATGAATCCGACAGAAGGAATCCATTGCCCTAGCTCTCTCTTCTCCGTGGTTCAGCCTCTGGGCAGGGAAGAGAGCAGAAAGCCCCAGGGGACTTTGTCCCCCAGGTGCCCTGGTGATAACCTGGGCTACCTGTGATTTTGGCCTGAATTAGAAGGGCCCCTGGTGGGATGGGGGGGCTGGGGGTGGAGACAGCTTTCTGGGAGAGGGGCTGGAGCTGGCCCTGGGGTGCTGTTGCCTCGTGGGGGCCCCAGAGGCCGAGGCGGGCTCTCACTTCACCGCTTTCCCGTGCCAGCCCTCATGTACGCCAGCATCTTCGGCAACGTGTCGGCCATCATCCAGCGCCTGTACTCGGGCACGGCGCGCTACCACACGCAGATGCTGCGCGTCAAAGAGTTCATCCGCTTCCACCAGATCCCCAACCCCCTGCGCCAGCGCCTCGAAGAGTACTTCCAGCACGCCTGGTCCTACACCAATGGCATTGACATGAACGCGGTGAGGCCTGGGCCCCGCCGGGGAGGGCCGGGCACCCCTGCTCCAGCCACCCCGCCCCAGGTCAAGGCCTGGCGGGCGCCAGACGCCCCCAGCCTCCCCCATAGGCTGCGTGCGCTGGACCGGCCCTCCTGCTTCCCAGGTGCTGAAGGGCTTCCCTGAGTGCCTGCAGGCGGACATCTGCCTGCACCTGCACCGCGCGCTGCTGCAGCACTGCCCCGCCTTCCGTGGCGCCAGCAAGGGCTGCCTGCGCGCGCTGGCCGTCAAGTTCAAGACCACGCATGCGCCGCCCGGAGACACGCTGGTGCACCTGGGCGACGTGCTCTCCACGCTCTACTTCATCTCCCGAGGCTCCATTGAGATCTTACGCGATGACGTGGTCGTGGCCATCCTAGGTGGGTGGGGCAAGGGATGCCCTGACTGCCCCTCCGCCCCACCCTTTTCTGACGTTGCCACATGCCAAACAAGCACTGTGCCCAGAGCTCTGCTGCCTTGGGCCGGCCCAGCTCCTGCCAGCCAGTTGAGGCTCGGAGAGGCCAGGCTGTAAGCGGCCAGGCAGGGATTGCCGGCCGGTGTGCCTGACACCGAACCCCAGGCTGGCTCCTACCTCCTTCCACGCTTGGGGACCTCATGGTGACAGGGTGATGGTCTGTGAGGATGGTGCCCTGGCCTGGGTGCCCTGGCTAATCCAGTGCGGCTGCAGGGACAACTGGACACTGTGGAGGAAGGACATGAGCACTGGGCAGGGGTCAAGCAGATTTGGGTCCCCTAGAGCCTCTGCCACTGGCCAGCGATGTGTCCTTGGACATGCTACTTCATCTCTCTGAGCCTCACAGGGTTCTCTCCAGCTTCACCCTTGGGTTCTGCAGCCCCCTTTCCCTTTGACTCTCACCTCCCTTTATGCCTCACCTGGGCCAGCTCCTCGCTTCCCTAGCCTCAGCCTCCACCTGAACCACAAGGACCCCTCAAAGCACTGTCCTGGCCCCCACCTCTCTTGTGTCAGACTAGAACATTGCATTTCTTCCTGGAACAAGCCTGGCAGATCTCAACCTGACACCTCCTTGCAAAATCCGCTTCCTCAGCATCTGCATCACTGTGAGCCATCCCCAGGCCTGAGGGCAACCAAGAGGGCATCCTGCTCCCACCCTCTGTCACTGCCCTTCCACTCACCACCCAGCTAGTCACCAAGGCCCGTCCCTCCCCACACCTGTGTCCTTGTCTGGCCCAATTCAGCCCTCGCTAGGCCAACCTAGTCAGTGTCAGAGTGCCCGTGCTGTGTCCCTGCATCTGGTCTACCCACTGTGTTCCCTCTTCCACCTCTGCCAGTGACCTGGAGGTCACATCTGTGCACTCCCCTGTTTGGCTTGAAGCTCTCCTGTTCTCCTTGAAGTTCCCTGGGGCCTGGGACAAATGTAAACCCCTGTCCAGGGTGACCCTCGGTCCTGCCCCTCTCCCCCTGGTACAGTATGCTCCAGCTGCACAAGCTATTTGTTGTTAGGGGCATTGGGCTGATTTTCAACTCAGCCAGTTTCTACTTACAGAGGAGAGCTGCCCGTAGGACTGCCTAGGCTGGAATCATTGTGGGAGCAGAATGCCAGGTCTTTCCCCCACAGAGCTGCTGGGTAGGTTTGAACAAGCAACCTTTCACACCACCAGGACTACTGACGATGCTCTACACTTGCCTGTCTCTGGTACCCCTCCCTGCCGGTGCGCATGCTGTCCCCTTGGCTTGGCGCCTACCTGGCAGGCCCCGGCTGGACTCCAGCAGGAGCTCCTCTGAGAGACCTCCCCTGCCTCCCAGCCCACCTTAGAGGTTCCATCCACATGGCAGGGCTAATAGTTATGATCAATAATTAAGGAGTTGGTCCAATTTAAGGTTCAGTTGCAGACATGAAATCTCCTCATTTTGTCCTCTGTGGAAAGAGACATTAGATCATAATCTTTCATCTGCTAGAAACCCATCCTTTATAATGTTGGCTGGATTTCAAACTCCTGTGCTTCGTCTGTGGCCCTGGTGAATTCCTTCCCTTTCTGGGCCTCTGTCCCCAGTTCTTTGAATGTGGCACTTGGGCTGGATAATGCTGAGAACCCACCCAGGTCTGATGGCCTCTCATCTTTGGTCTTATTCCCTTGGGGAACACATGCTAGCCTCCACCCCATCCTCCTGCCTGCACAAACTGTCTGCACCCCTTGAGCAGTGTCACCAGATTGAGGAGCTATACTTTCCTATGAAGAAAAAACACCAAAAACTCTCAAACTCACTGCCAGCGAGGCAATTCCTGTGGACCCTGCAGGGCAGGCTAGAACTTATCCCTTTGGGTTTCCGAGACTTGAAATCCTTATGGGAGTAGACAGCTTCCTCTTTCTCCCAAGGAGCACCTGATGGGTTCGAACTGGGGGCTTTGTGGTTAGGGGTGCCAAATTAATGGTGATCTGTGGCACCCCTAAGGAACCCTGATGATGCAGCTGGTTATGTGTTGGGCTGCTAGCCGCAAGGTCAGTAGTTTGAACCCACCAGCTGCTCTGTGGGAAAAGGATGAGGTTTTCTGCTCTGGAAAGATTTGCAACCTTGGCAACTCAATGAATTGCAATGCGTCCCTTTCCACTGTTTGCCCTAATTATTAGCCCCGGCCACATATTGTTGCTTCTGAGTCAAAGCCAGCTCATGAAGCCTCCCTCCATACGTATCAGAGTAGAACTGTGCTCCATAACTTTTCAAAGGCTGGCTGATTGGACGATCTCCACACCTTTCTTCCGGGCCCTATTTTGTTGTGCTTATTTAGAATATACACCGAACAACACTCACCAACTCATGTACTTCTACATGAACAAGTCAGTGACAATAATGACTTTTTCAGGTTGTGCAGCACAGCCATTCTTATCGTCTCTCCTGAGCTATTCGTTCCTCGTTCACATAAAGTCCCTGCACCCTAAATTCCTCTCTAGTCTTTCCAGGTTGCTGTGGTCAACTGGATCCCATAGGTTGTTGGGAGGTGCGGTCTAGTTTGTTCTGACTTACAGCGACTCATGTACGACAGAGGGAAACACTGGCCAGCCCTGCGCCATCCTCACAACTGTCCCTGTCTTTGACCCTGTGGTCTTAGCCACTGTGTCAACTCATCTTACCAAGGGCCTTCCTCCTTTTTGCTGCCCCTCCACGTTACCAACTTAGATGTCCTTCTCCAGGGACTGGTCTCTCCTGATAACATGCCCAAAGGTATGTGAGACGAAGCGTCACCCTCCTTGCCGCTAAGGAGCATTCTGGTTGTACTTCTTCCGACACACATCTGTTTACTTTGTTGGCCATCCATGGTACTGTCAATAGCCTTTGCCGACATGATAGCTCAAATGCATTGATTTTGCTTCGGTCTTCCTCATTCAGTGTCCAACTTTCACGTGCATTTGAAGCCATTGAAAATACCATGGCTTGAATCAGGTGTACCTCGGTCCTCAGAGTAACCGCCTTCCTTTTCAACATTTGAAAGCAGTCTTGTGCAGCAGATTTACCCAATGCAATGGGTCCTTTGATCTCTTGACAGCTGCTTCCACAATCCCATATAGATAGTTCTTAACAGAGCACAATGCTCACGGAAGGCATTGCTTACTAGCTCAGCTAAACTATTATTTGGTTTCAAGAAGATTTCAGGGGACATTTGGGGTTTATGGTTGAAAGATTATCTCAGGTCAGGTCATTGGTTTCAAAGGCTCAGTCAGCCTCATGGCTCCAGAAAGTCTGGCATCCATGAGAATGTGAAATCCTGTTCTATGTCTCACCACTCCTCTTCTCCCAGCTGTGGATCAAGCGCCTTCTGCAGACGCTTTGTTCAAAACATGCAGCACTGCTAGCTGGGCACCATCCAGTTCCTCCGGTCTCATTGCAAAGGAGGCAGCTGTTCATGGAGAGCCTCTAACTTTCCCACTAGCCTTCTGAGCAGTAACTGTTTGCATGGCTCAGGGCTTCCTCAGGGTACCCAGTCTTCCTCGATGTTGTAGGCCAGTGGTTCTCAACTTGTAGATTGCGACCCCTTTGGGGGTTGAAAGACCCTTTCATAGGGGTCGCCCAATTCATAACAGTAGCAAAATGACAGTGATGAAGTAGCAATGAAAATAATTTTATAATTTCATAAAAAATAATTTTATGAAAATAATTTATGGAAAATAAATGTATGGGGGGTCACTACCTCATGAGGAACTGTACGAAAGGGTCATGGCATGAGGGAGGTTGAGAACCACTGTTCTAGCCCCCACCCCCCATATCAGGTTCTTTTAAGTGCCCTCCAACCACCCCCTTGCCCCCAAACACCTCTGGCAGAATGAGCTCCTCCCTCTGCCAGAGGCTCACAGCCCCTGGGTCTCCCTGCTCTGAGGCTTCACAGGTCAGACTCTTGGTTGCTTGTGTGCCTGCCTTGTGGGGGTTTATCCATGTTGAGGTCTTGAGATCAGCATTGGACCTCAGTGAGGTCCAATACTCCGAGTCCCCTCCCTGCCTCCCCTCCACACTCCCCCCCCCACCCCCCACTCACATCTCCAGTGTCCCCTCTTGTCCTAGTCAAGGTGCTTTCAGAATCTCTCTTCCTCTGCTGCACTGTAGAGCCCAGTGACATAGGGAAGAGTGACTGGCCAGGCCCTCCCCGCCATGCACCCTACCTGCCCCCCCCCCCCAACAAGGAGCGGGGCCCAAGGAACAGCAGCCTCAGTCCCTTCCCCAGGGACAGAATGGGATACTCCTGCCCAGGGCTCCCTACACCCAGCCCCACCATTCAGCAAAGATGGGGGAGGTCAGCTGCGATGAAGCCTTTGATCTCCCTTCCTGCCCACTGACCTCTAAGTGGGGGGCAAGGCAGTGGACAAAGGAAGTTGCATTCTGACCTGTGATGGTGCTGAGAGGGTCAGCAAGAAGACCCACATATGCCAAGGTGGGGTTTCTGAACCCACCTCTGTGGAGCTCAGAGGACAGAGGATGGGCCCCAACACATCAATCTCCACCCCACCTCCCCCCACCCTTACCACCCTGAGCTGGGTCCTGGCAGGATCCCTGAGGGAGGTGGGAATGGGTCTGGGGAAGGGGGAGCTTAGAGCCAAACCCCGGAGGGATCCTCGTCCCCTCTGGCCGGCAGGAAAGAACGACATCTTTGGGGAGCCTGTCAGCCTCCACGCTCAGCCTGGCAAGTCAAGCGCGGATGTGCGGGCCCTGACCTACTGCGACCTGCACAAGATCCAGCGGGCAGACCTGCTGGAGGTGCTGGACTTGTACCCCGCCTTTGCAGACAGCTTCTGGAGTCAGCTGGAGGTCACCTTCAACTTGCGAGATGTGAGTGAGTCTGGGCCAGAGGGCTGGGCCGGGGGTGGCTGGGACCAGCCTGGACAGGCAGTGGCTGCACGGAGCCCTGCCGTGGTCTCCACCCCTGCTCTCCAGCATGCCAGTCACAGTGTGTGTTGGGCGTGGGGGCTGGGGGTGTCCACAGAGCAAGGGTAAAACTGCCTCTCTCTGTGTGTATTTATCAGTGGAAGGGAGGATGACTGTTCAGGAAAAATAGCCACACAAGTTAGGTAACCAAGGAAGCCACACGGGTTCACGGTGAGACCCGGGGTCTGCTCTTCTGCTCTGTCAGGGGAACTTCCTGGAGGCCGGTGGAGGGGGGGGACGGGACGGGGAGGTGGTGCTCAGGTCTGCTCAGGTCTGCTCAGGTAGGAGGACCTACCAGGCAAGGGACATTGACTGAGCCCCACTTTAGCACCTCCCAGCCACCTCTGTCCCTATCCCCTGCCACCCCCAGCCCAGTGGCGATGCCAGCCCAGGCCCCGCCCCCACCCATCCCCAGCTTCTGGAGGTTGAAGCTGAGCTGACTCTTCTTGCTGTGGGGAGCCCTCTCACGCTGCCCCCTCTGTGGGTCTCCACTCTCACTTCACCAGCATAGGGGATGCCTAGTGGGACCCAGCCACTAGAAGCCACAAAGTGGCTGAGTGGATGGACACTAGGCTAGGAAGGACATCACGATCTTTGGGGGCCCAGACTCTGCAGCCTCCAGGTGCACCCCAGTTTCCTGAGCCAGGAGCGTGAGCCACCTGAAGGCATCCCCTGAGAGGACGGGTGTCCTAGGCCCAGGGTCTTCGGAGAAACCCCCCTGGCAGCCCCTGCACAGCAGGGGTTCAGGGTGGGGTAGCACTCCTCATGCATCCAGAGAAGGAAACTAGAAGACCAGCTCGCCTGCTTTCCATCCTCAAATCTCAGTGCTCAAAACAGCCTCCCCACCCCCACCCCAGTCTCTATGGGGGCTATTCAGGGTGCAAGGTCTTTGTCACCAAGCCCCTGGCAGCCAGGCTGCCACCCAGCACCCTTTCTTGCCTCATTGTCTCAAGGACCATGTGGGGAGGTGGGGAGGGAACTCAGGGGCCCCGTTCCAGCTTTGGTCCAAGCCCCAGGATGCTCTTGTTCCCTCCAAGGCAGGCGGGGGTCTCCAGGCATCACCTCCACAGGCTCTGGGCAGCCAAGGGTCCCTCCTCAAGGACAGCCAGTCAGGTGAGCTAAGCCAGCCCTGCCCAGCCCCTGCCTCCTGGCCGTCCCCATGGGAGCAGGGCTCCTCCTGAGTCAGCCTCCCAACCCTGATGGTTCCTATTCTCAGAGGCGGAGAGTGAGGCCCGGCTGGGTCCTGAGCGCTGCCCCCAGGAGTGGATACAGGCCAGCTCCCTGGGGCTCCACACCAAGGCACCGGAAGATTCGCTGGAATGCTTCCTGCTGGGCAGTGAGGCCAGGGCTGGGACCCCCTACCCAACCAGCCTGCACAGACAGGGCCTCCAGCCCTGTGTGGGAGCAGGGTACCCAGGTCAGGAGACACCCCCACTTCCCTCCCCCTGCTCCCATGGTGGGGACGGGGAGGAGCCTGGAAGGGGCAGGCATGAGGACCAGGCAGTTCAGACTGCCCTGTCTCTCCTGCAGGTGCAGCCATGTCCGTGAGCCCCGCAGACACAGCTGGCCTGTGGCCTGAGTTGCTGCAGCAAGTGCCCCCAAGGCTTAGCTCCCTAAACCCTCAGGGAGGCCCTGATCACTGGCCTTGGGAGCTAGGCTCCCGCCTTGAGCAGCTGGAGGCCCAGCTGAGCAGGTGAGTGAGTGCCCTGAGGGCCCTGCTGGGCAGCAGCTGCCCGCAGGGCGCTGGGCACACGCGCCCCCTCCTGGTGACTTAGGGACATCACCGGGTACCTGGTCTTTGTTTTTGTATTGTTTTGTTAGCAGGGTGGACCCTGTTTAGTGGCAGGTCTCCCCTTCCCCATTGCCACTAAGCACAATTCCTCGGATGTTTTCCTAGAAAAGCCTAGACTATACCAAGGAAGGTTTCTTGAGGGGCAGGGGCAGAGCCATGTGCAGACAAGTAAGTTCCCCGGTCCTTGGGGAAGGGGTGTGGCCCGTGGGTAGGTGGGCTTTGGAGCAAATGAGTTCGAGGTTTCAAATTCTGGTTCTGCAGCACTGGAGCTAGAGCTCGGGCAAGTGGCGTCCCCGCTTGTGCCTCCCTTTGCGCTTCTGTGAACTGGGAGCAACAGGATGGCCGTATCAGAGTGTCCTGGGGCACTGATAGTGTGAGCATGGGTCACTGTTCCCTGAGTCAGGGATGCACTCATGGGAACTTGGGAGGGGCTGCAGAGCCCAATGGGGAAATGGCATTACAGAGGCCCCAGGCTCACACGTGCATGCATGCACACACACACGCACACCATGAAGACCCTCAAACTGAGAGCTGCTCTTGGGCCTGAACACCCCTCTCCCATCCCTCCTGGCCTGCCCACGGGCTCCTGACCTCGGGCTCTGTCTGCAGGCTGGAGTCCCGCATGGCCTCAGACCTCAGCCGAATTCTGCAGCTCCTTCAGCAGCCCCTGCCACAAGGCCACACTGCCTACATCCTGGGAGCCTCTGTCCCCGAGGGCCTGGCCTTGTTTCCTGCAGACCCAGCGACTCCAAGTTCAGGGCTCAGGCTGCCCCATGGCCATCTCCCTCCTGCCCAGGTAAGGGGACCCCCAGGGGCTTTCCTGCAGGTAGCTTGCATGGCTTTCCGCACCCCAACTGGCTCTCAGTGGCATCAGGCCCAGGGCCTCTGGGCCCCCAGGGCAGCTGAGGCTTCTGTTGTCCAGCTTCTGTTGTCCCTCTTTATGATTTGAATCATGACATGGCCACCTGCGGAGGTCACCAGACCCTGTGCTGTGAAGGAGCAGCCGCAGCTCCCGCCAGTGCCCACCCAGAAATGGAGCCAACTGGCCCCACCACCTGGCCTGGGGGCTTGCCACACAGTCTGCCTTTCTTGACCTTCCCAGGCCCCAAGCTACGGTGACTTGGACCAATGTAGACCAAAGCACAGGAATGTTCCCAGGAGGCCGCTGGTCCTGGCCCTGGACAAACCGCTGACACCAGCCTTGGAGCAGGAGCAGCCACGAGGTCACCTGTCACCTTTGACCTCACCTCTGTGTCCCACTGGGGTACAGGGTTTGGTCTGTGGTCCCCGCTTCCCCTCCCTCCCTGAACACCTTGGCTGTGTCCCCAAACAGCTGGCATGCCAGAGATATGGCTCAGATCCTGGACTCGCAGGGAGCAAGAACTACTGAACCTCAAGGCGAAAGACCATAAGGGGCCTGAAGATGGGGGAGATGAATGTCAAGGGTCCTGGGGGGGAGAAAGGGACTCTTAAAACCATCCCCCTAGAGTAGCTTCAAGCCTGGTGGCGAGACTCAGGGCTTTCCCAGCCCCCTCCAGGCTCCTTTAAGAATGCAAGCCTGGGATGGGAGAGGGGTGACCTTTAGGACTGAGGTGAGGGAGGGAAAGAGAATTTTCTGATCTTCAGTGTGAGAGCCTTGCTGTGCTCTGGGCAGGGTCACCTCCCGGCTCAGACCCAGCACCTGCCTCATGGCCCTGCGCTCATCGCCTTGGGGAGGTTGGGCCCCCTGCTGGACCTGAAGGTGTCCTCTGTGCTGGACCTGTCAGTTCACAGCACTCCATCCCTCAGTGGCTCCGCCTCAATGGCTCTCGGATGACCGGGGGCCCTTTCTTGGCCGTGAATGTTATGCAGCTAATAAAATGAACCCATTTCACGTTGAGCCAGGTGTGTCACTTCACTGAGGATCACCAGGCCCTTGACTGTGACGTGATCCCAACAGCTGCGGTCTTCCCCAATCCAAATCCACTGTCGGGGACCTGAAGTGGTCTCACTGAGCCCAGAAGCCCCCAGAGCAGTGGTTCTCAACCTTCCTAATGCCACGACCCTTTCATACAGTTCATGTTGTGGTGACCCCCCAACTGTAACATTATTTTCGTTGCTACTTCCTCACTCTCATTTTGCTACTCTTATGAATCAGGCGACCCCTGTGAAAGGGTCGTTCAACCCCACCCCACCCCAAAGGGTCGCGACCCACAGGTTGAGAACTGTTGCCCTAGAGGGTGGAACTTTTAGGCAGGTTAAAGTGAAGGGAAGAAGGGACCTGGGTTGGTGGCCATCAAGAATGGTGATGCCGGCCAACATTTCCACAGCACTCCTAAGCTGGGCTCCACACTGACTTCTCTGAAGACAGTCATGCACCTGATCCTCCCAATAAACTGGTCGGGTTGGTATCGTCACCCTCACTTTAGAGATGTGGAATCCGAATCAGAGGCTAGCAAACCTGGTACCTGAGACTGAGGGGGCTCCCAGGTGCTGGTGTTCTGTTTTTTTGAGCTGAGAGCAGGCTGTGTGTGTGTGTGTGTGTTCATGCTGTAGAAATATGTACACTGCTATGTGTACATTGTGCACTGAGATACCATCTCCATTGTACTGTAAATGTTAACCCTTTATAGACTATTTCACCCCACATTTGTGCTCATCTGTTTTCAGTTAGTGCAATTGAGTCACCATCATCTGTTTTAAAAACACACCAAGAACCTTTCTTTAATGTTATTCTACTTTTCTTCAACCTCATAATTCTATCCTCTTCCCCAGTTCTATCGTAATTTTCATGCTTCAAAGTCTATAAGAGACTACCCTATGATAGCTATTTACAACGCAGATATGGATATAATTTGTGATTTAAAAATACAATTTTGTAACCTTACTAAGGCTTCACTATGAGTACAGTACAGTTATTTCAAATATATAATTATATATTCTCATTTTTATAAAAAATGAAAACTATGCTGGAAATGCATCTCTTTTTAAGAAAATTTTTTTAATTGGGGACTTTTACATCTCTTATCACAATCCATACATTTATCCAGTGTGTCAAGCACATTTGCACATATGTGGCCATCATCGTTTTCAAAGCATTCTCTTCCCACTTGACCACCTGATATCAGCTCCCCATTTCTTCCCCCTCCCTCCCCTGCCTGCCCTCCCTCACGAACCCTTGAAAGTTGTAGATTATTTTTTCCATATCTTACATCATCCTCCATCGCCCCTCACCCACTTTTCCATTATTTGTCCCCCTGGGAGGAGGTTCTAGGTTGGTCCTTGTGATTAATTCCCCCTATCTCCCCCACCCTCCCCTAATCCTCCTGGTATGTCTACTCTCATTGTTGGCCCTGAAGGGTTTATCTATCCTGGATTCCCTGTGTTGTGGTCTCTTATCTGTAGCAGTGTGCATTCTCTGGTCTAATCTGATTTGTAAGGTAGAATTGAGGTCATGATAGTGGGGCGAAGGAAGCATCAAAGAACTAGAGGAAAGTTGTGTGTTTCATCGGTGCTATACTGTAACCTGACTGGCTCATCTCTTCCCTGTGGCTCCTCTGTGAGGGGATGTCCAATTGTCTACAGATAGGCATTGGGTCTCCACTCCATGTCCCCCTCCACCTTGGGTATGGTTTTATTCTGGGTCTTAGATGCCTGATACCTGATCACATTGATGCCTCATGATCAGACAGGCTGGTGTGCTTCTTCCATGTGAGCTTTGTTGCTTCTTAGCTAGATGGCCTCTTGTTTATCTTCAAGCCTTTAAGACCCCAGATGCTATATCTTTTGATAGCCAGGCACCATCAGCTTTCTTCACCACATTTACTTATGCACCCATTTTGTCTCCAGTGATTGTGTTGGGAAGGTGAGCATCACAAAATGCTGGATTATTAGAACAAAGTGTTCTTGTGTTAAGGGAGTACTGGAGTTGAGGCCCAATGTCCATCTGCAACCTTAATTCTTGACATATAGATATGAATACATAGTTTTATTCCCTTCTCATTATATGTATATTTACATATGTACATGCTTGCATTTAGACCTCTATAAATGTCCTTTGCCTTCTGGTTCTTTCCTCTATTTCCTTGTACTTTCCTCTTGTCCCACCAGGTTCGGCCTTCATTAGGGTTTAGAAATTCCTCGCTGCTACATTGTCCTTGATTGAACCCCACTAGGCATCCTACGATCTTCCTCCCATTGATTTTAGTTCACTTGTTGTTCCCTTCTCCCTGGGTTGGTCCCTGCCCCCTTCCTTTCTCCCGTATCCCCCCAACCCCCAACCATTGGTCCCTTTCTTTTTACCTCCGAATTATTTATCCTGCCTAACTTATCTACGTAGACATGCAGATACATTAATAAGTGCAAAATCCAGGCAAAGCCAAATAAAACAAAGGAAGTCAAAACCAACAAAACAATAACAACAGCAAAAAAACCAAAATAACAATAACAAAAAGAAAGCCACTGACAAAGATGGAAAAGCCTGTCAATAGTTCAAGGTCTGTTGTTGGCCTTTATGAGTGTTTTCCAGTCGAGTCTGAAGGGGTGCCACACTCTGTCTCCACAGTCTATATTTGGTATTCCCTGTGGGGTTCATCACTCTGCTATCCCTGCTGCTCGGCTGCATGCCCTCAGTATGATGGGGCCAGACCTTGCACTATTCCCACACTGTGTCTCCAGTGCTGTCCCCCGCAGCATCATGGTTCCGTGAGGGACGCTATGTCCCCGTGGTGGGGCCGGCCCTACAGTCCTCCCTGTGCGTTGTCTGCTCCGAACAGGAGCATCGTCCTGGGGCTTGGTGGGCCAGGATGTCCTCTCCTCCCTCTCCATCCCTTTGCATTTCTCCCATGTGCTCTAATCAGATGCGCCCCTCTCCCCAAGCTGTAGCCCCAGTGCTGTCCTCTGAAGTGCATGCTTCTGGGGGTAGGGGGGTAAGAGTGGGGGGGGTGTAGGGGAAGCGTGTCCACATAGTTGGAATTGGGGCTGGCGGAAATGCATCTCTTGAAGAGATCCCCAAAGCCCCCCGCTCCAATTAGTTCATTTACTTGTGGTTGAATGTCATTATATTTGTTAAGACAAATTCAGCAAATTAAACTCTAGCACAGAGAAGATTTTTTTTTCACATAAACGAGTAGGTGGGACTAGGAGTTTATTAAAACGCTGTCACTTAATTGTTTAAGTTCTTCCTAAGCCATAGGTGAAAAATCCCAATTGTCATTAAACATTTCCATATCATCCACCAAATCAATACAATTCTTCAATTTTGTTGAAAGCAAAGAATTGGAAACGAGGTAAAGAGTGGAAAGCTTCGGGTCCTGCCTTGTGTACGTTTCAAACTGGCTGTATGACTGCGGGCCTGAGGAACACGTGCCTGCGGGGAAGGGATGGGAACTGGAAAGTCAGAGCAGCCGTTCGCTGAAGACCAATTGGGAGCTTTTCTAGCCTCTGCAGGAAAGCGCAGGAAGCCTTCCCTGAGGATGGCGAGCTCCTGAAGTGAACTAAGGGTAGGTCTGTAACAGGCTGCCCAAGGCCTGCCCTTGGGACACTGGGAGGGCAGCTGCCTAAGGGGGCGTTGGGACGAGTAGCAAGGGTGGGTGGCTCCCGTTTGGCCCCTGGCCAGGCCACCAGGGGCCCCCTTTAATGCGGATTTCATTTTATTCGACAGCTTAGAGAAGCCGCTCAGAATAGGAGCCGCAGGGAGGAGGTCAGAAGAGGTCACCGAAGAGACTGTAGCTCAGAGACTTGGCCTAGAACTTGGAGGCCTGCTGCCTAGAGCGCTGGCCTGGATACCACCCACGCCCCCATTCACCAGCACTGCACCGTTATCTCTCTGACTGACATCTTTGTCAGCCAATGGCCTTTGGGGCTGCGAAAGCACCCGCCTCCCCAGGCGTCGGGCGGGGCAAGGTGGTGGAGTGGCAAAGATTTCCACCAATGGCAAGGAGGTTTCAAACGCTCCGCGCACGACGACCAATGAGGTCAAGGAATTGCTCGAAAAGACATGTCAGGCAGCCAACAGCCGGCGACGCTTGCAGCGGGGGTCGCGTGGCTTCCGTTCCGAGAGGGCGGGGCGGGGTCCCAAACGGAAGGTGGTCCCGCCTCAAACGGAAGGTGGTGGTTGTGGGTGCCGGAGCTGCTGTGAAACTGGGGGTCAGGCCCGGCTGCCGTTGTCTGTGGCCGCGGCCCCGCTTCCGGGCTCGACTGTCCCG